CTCAATTCTGGCTTTGTATGCATTTATTCTTAAGGCTGGGTCTTGTGCGGCCAGAATTGGCCCCTCTGTCTCTTTCTTCATCTTTCCTGCTCTTAGCCACTGCCAGGTCTTGTTGTTATCTGTTTTGCCTGCTAGTTTTTTTGTGTATTGGCCATGTAATACTTTGCCTTGCCGTGTCTCTTTTCTGTTCTTCATTTGGTCTTTCTTATGTGCCAGTTTGGTTTCTTTGGTATTCAATAACCCTTCATGGTATATTAGCTTCAGTGCATCTTCTTCACTGTCCTGTCCAGTGTATGTACTTCACTGTATTCTTCCAGTGCCCTTTTTTCTTCTTCAGCTGTCTGGCGTACTTGCAACATTCCATGCCCACCTATGCTCCTTAGTATTTTTTTTTTTCTTCAGGCAAATGTACACATTTTATTTACTTGTTTTTAACCTGTTTGTAGAGCTGAAGTTGCAAGACGTGAAGATGTGAAGAAAAGGTCTCTCTTCTTAAAAATTCTTTTCAATTCCAAAGAGGTGTCAAGAACAGTTTCTCGGCAGATGAGCTCAGACTTCAGAATTCATTTTGGGCAGATTTTCAACCTGCAAATATTCAATTGGCCAGAGAGTTTAAAATTGCAGGTGAGTTATTGGTGGTAAACACATAGATAGAGGAGCAGTAGAGTATTGATGCTCCCACCCATAGCAAGAGGTGCGAAGAGGTCCTGGCTTCAGTCATTTAGATTTAGTTCCCACAGAGGAACTTAGCGATTGGTTCTGTCCATGGATTTGCATGATAGAAGGTTCTTGTTATACTTAAATTCTGTTCATCGACAGAGCTACCCCCACTTTCTTGTATAGGGACATAGGTTACATGCTCAATTTCTTGCTTTTACTGTTGTTCTTTTTTATGTCGTACTTCTACACTGCTTATATACGCAGTTTGTATTACACAAAACTTTCACCCCAACAAGACTTTCTAGTTCTGCATATGCAGTGGTATAGAACTCATAAAGAATAAATGTCAGTCATTTCCTGTTAATCTGATTTAAGAGCATTCTCTCCAACACTGGTAGTTTTCCCTCCATGGTTGCAGATTTTGGAGTCCCTGGTCTAATGGTGTTTGCTCCTCAAGAGCTAGATTCTCAAGTGAGGATGACTGCCTCTCTGCCTTCACTTGACAGGGAAGGGGAGCCCATCCAATATACTGTTCTAGTATTTCCAAGATAGAGGTATATATTTCTAGCCACAATACTATGATGATAGACAAGCAATGCTGATATACACTAACCCACTCCAGTCCCTTGAAATGCATATACTTGTTTATGGTCATGAGAACCCATTCGAAAACATGGTGTAAATTCAATATAACTCCCAAAACACCCAAAGTGACTAGAAATGGGAATAATTGCTTCCCTTTATTACAGCTTTATGAAATAGTTGGACTCAGCAGTGCTAACTTGTTAATGGAAGTATATGTGCCCATCCCGGAGACCACCATTCTGACAGGAAGAGCTCCAGTCGAAGAAATTGAATTCAGCAGTGACCAGTGTGTGACCCTGGACCATGAAGGAGTTGGCAGTGGTACAGAGATTGATCCATTTCTTACTTGTTGAAGTTCAAGGATTGAGAACCAGCTAATGCAGTTGAGATGTCATGGATTTAGTGCTAGGTTCCAAATACCTATACATCCATAGACTGACTGTTATCTCTAAAGCAATTTGAGGTGATCAGGCCCCACATCCACCTTTGGTGGACTCCCAAAACTTGCAGTCTCAATAGCTGAAAACTGATGGCATTGTTTCTTTCCTTCCTTCCTTCCTTCCTTCCTTCCTTCCTTCCTTCCTTCCTTCCTTCCTTCCTTCCTTCCATTATGCAAACTAAGAAAAAAAAATACAAGAGTGTTAAAGGATTAACACAACTACATAATTAATAAGCAGCGTAAGAAAAGAAAAAAGAAAAGAGGCATGGAAATTGCATTATAAACAGAACAACTCCAAAAACATAGACTAAATTGTTCTTTGTTTCACCTTTAATGAAACAAGACTAATTCAAATATTGATGACACATCTCAGCAACCTAGTGCTGCAGATGAAGCATAGATTTCTCCTTTGAGTGCAGTGTAATTTTTGATATCCAAATACTGGGGATAAACCTGAAATTTAAGTCTAAAGCGGGCTTAACGTAGTTATACAAAAGCAAAGAAACTGTTCACCCCCCTCCCCAAAACCAGACCCTTTGCATCAAGTGCTTAACCATGGTGGGTCTTGGCCACTCAAACAGTGGTTATTCTAATCCAGTGTTTCTCAACCTCAAACCTTTGCTTTGCTGGCTGGGGAATTCTGGGAGTTGAAGTCCACACAACTTAAAGTTGCTGAGGTTGAGAAGCACTGCTCTAGTCTAAGGATTCTTATATCAGGAAAGAGTTGATATGTAGCAACAAATCAGGCCTTTTTATTTTAATCACAAACCATCAGGATCTGGTTTAACATTTTGCATTGTTAATTATGGTATAAACAAATAACTACTTGATCATATCCAACTCACAAAGGAGTTGTTTAACCCAGCTTGTTTTGTGAACTCAAGCACTGTGGCTTATACAATAAATGATGGTTAGCAGAGCATGGTTTATTGTGACATATGAACCTGGTCTGTTATTTGCTGCTAACCCTGAACCGAAGCTTTAGATGTTTCCGCCTTTAAGCCAAAAAGTGTTGGGGGGGCCATACAAACCATATATTTTTGCAGATTCAAAAGAACATAAACCATAGTTGATTTGTCAGATCTGAGCAGGGCCACTCTGTTTGATCTCTTCTTGCAGGTGTCCCCTTTTCATTTGAAGCAGATGGTAGTAATAAAATGATTTTAATGACTTCTGGAAAAGTATCGTGCAGTGTCTCGTGGGCAGTTGGAGCAAATGGGATACCACTGGCTCCTCCGGTATCGCAGAAGAACGTTGCTCTTTCAAGGTAATGAACTTCAGCAATCTTTGCGTCACCTTACTTAGTTTTAAAATATATTTATTTTTTATATTTTTATTCTTCAATCTTCCTTTTTCCAGCCTGGTTCTTCTTAATGCTAAGCCAGGATTTGTTTTGCCTAAGTGTGTTTTGTTTGAATACCAAGTAATCAGTATTTTTTAGTTTTAGTTTAGTTTAGTTTTAGAAACAAACTCCAGCTTGAAGCTATTGTGGGTAGCCAGAGTGCATTTGCAGTAGTGCAGCCTCCCTGCCAGTCTAAACACTAGACGGTGCCTGAGTTTGAATACACATATTCTCTCAAGCAGGGAGTCTGGTTCATGTGCTTGGGAAATTCCATAAACTCTTCCTTTCCTAGACAGAGAAAAAAAAAGTATTCTTTCAGATTGCATAGTTTTTAGAGTAATACTTAGAGATAATTGTTAAATTAGGTTAAATTACATTTTGCCTACTTTTGTCTGCGTGTCTTAGTTGAGCATTAGTGTCTCTTGTTCTGACTACTCTGCACTAGTTGGCACTAGGTATTACTTCAAGCACATGATATTTCATTGAGTAAATATATTTCAGGAGATTTATTTTCTCTTTATTAACTTACTGTGAGCTTGTTAAACAGTACACATCTTCCGCAATGGTGGGTCTTGTGAGCTGATGGGATGTGACTATAAAGCCCATGTTCTGTTGTGCAGCGAAGTTCACTCATGTTCCCAAAGACTCGGGAGGAGAAAGATGAATATAGAATGTGTACTTGGAGGATAAGAAGTGATATTTTTTAAAAACAGGCACATTGGAAAAGGAAATTTCAGGCAGTATGTATTCAGCTTCTGGGAAGATGCATGAAATAATTTTGTTTGAAAAGGCAAATGAATGAGATTGTGCAAAACTGACAAGTCCATAACTGGGAACACCATGCATTACATAAAGATTGTTTCAGTTGTTCTTCCAAAACAATTGGAAGACTTCTTTTAACCAGCTGTTTTTGCTCTTATCATCTGTCACAATTTCAGTGCCTTAAAAAATGTGGATGCTATTGCATCGATTGGCGCATCCGGATTAACTGACATGAAGAAATTAGCCAAGTGGGTGACTGAAACTAAGATGGATCCTAATGACCCAAGCAATGCAGCCCTGATGCGGTTTTTAAAGGTAAGGACTCTCTATCACGCATGACCCTGAATTTCCAGATTTTTTTTGCAAAGCCTTACCTAAAGAGTTAGTCACGCAGTATAATATGTAATTAACAGGCAGGTGTCTATGCCTTTTGCATATTTCTCACATGTGTGCACAGATGGCAGTCATCCAAATAATTCTCGGATATGTTGGATTTTTCATTAGGAAAAGCGTCTGGGCTCTGGCCCTGGTTCCTTATGCCGCGACACAGATGTAAATTCTGGAACTGGAACACAAAGGCAGGCTCAGGTAGAACAGGTTACTGTTGCCAGCCCTGGAGGCTAATGGTGTGAACAACATAGATTTGCCACCATTTTCTTCCCTGATAAGGTTCATCTGATAAAAGGCACTTTCCTCAATTTGGAAAACCAGAGAAAAATGTGAATTAAGATTCCCCTCCAGGCTGCGTCCTTGCTCCTTCTGGTAATCCATAATCCTGTTCCAAGCAGGGAGAACTGCCATGTCTTTGGAATGATGACCCCTCATTATGAGTACCTCCATCTTGTCTGGATTCAGTGCAACTGATCATCCTTCATCCAGTCCATTCCTGCTGGCACGTATGTGCCATATCATTACCTGAAGATCTTACAGAGAAATAGATTTGGGTGTCAACAGTGTAATGAGATGAACTGGCTGTAAATCTCCCAATGGGGGTCTCTCCCAGCAGTACTGAGAAGCAGTGGAACAGAATAGAGCTTGGAAGTGTACAATGAATTATCTCTCTCTCTATCCTCTACCAAATTTGTATACTGTGTCTCCTGACTCCCAATGACTTGAGCAGCTCACAACTAAAACAAGACAAATACAATTACAGGCAGACCTTGGGTTATGACGGCAACTGGAACCAGAATTTCTGTTGCTAAGCAATGTAGTTGTAAAGCGCAATATCACGTGACCGCATCGCTTAGTGAAGGCAGTCCTGGCATTCCCCATTGCCATCACTAACTGAATCCCACTGGTTGTTAGCCGAGGACCCACCTCAGTCCAAGCCATTCCAGGTTTGGTCCTTCCCAGCCCTGAGCCTCGGTTCTTCCAAGGTAAGGGACTGCCTCCCCTTCAATTCCTCCCAACTGCCTATTCCACCCCCCATCTCTGCACTTTGAGCCACCCTGCACCCTGCCTTGCGGGTGGCAAGCAGGCTCAGAGCCACATGTCTCTGGACCTACTTGCCATGCTGCAGCTCTTGGGGCTTCTTAGTGCACCACGGCTCTGGGGCTGCAAGAATCCCCTGAGCCACAGTGCCAAGCTGCAGCTGGCCCAACGCAGCCCAGCAATGTGGTGTGAAGCCCCAGCCCCAGGCCCCCTGTACTCCGAGGCCCCTGCTGCCCTGTGCTCTGCTGCCCCCGCTGATCTGCATCATCTTCTTGCTCCCATTGCTGACAAGGTGTGCCCAACCTGGCCCTTTGCAAGGCAGTTGCTAGCCATGTGAGGCCTTTTTCCCAAGGTCTTCCTGAGGTCTTGGGGGGGGGGGGATGGGGGGGGGACTTGAGTGCTCCTGTGGTTGTAAGTGCAGGTGAGCTGCCAAGTGCCCCAATTTTGATCACATGACCACAGGAGCACTGCAACAGCATTAACTTTGGGGATCAGGCATAAGTGCCATTTGTTCAGCATTGCCATAACTTCGAACAGTCGCTGAATGAATGTTCATAGCTTGAGGACTACTTGTAGTAAGTGAAAAATAAAAGATGGTGGGAACAACAAACTGGACAGAAACAAAGCAAAGGGGCTTCAGTCTCCCTGCCGAAGGCCTGGGTGAACAGCCAGGTCTTCAAAGCCCTTCTAAACAGTAGGGTGGAGGCCATCAGGATCTCGGGGAACTTCATCTCAAAGGGCAGATGCTCAAACTACAAAATAATTTGTACTTCAAGGAAATGCCTTCCAGCAGCAGTAGCTTCTGAAATCTGTTTGAGATACAGGAACAGAACAACTGCAAGATGGTCCTCCATTTTCTAGATCTTTCAGGCAACCTGGAAGAGTACCACAGTTGATGGTATTGGAAGTTGCTGAGAACTCAAGAAGAATCAGTGAAGTCACCCTGTCTTTGTTGATCCCTAACTACAGTTCATCTGTCAGGCCAACCAAAGCAGTGTCAGCCTTCTAGCTTGTCCTGGAGCCAGTTTGAAATGGGTCAAAATAATCTTCCTCCAGGACTACTTTGATCACCTTATTCAATTATGATTGCCAACTCTGAGAGATTCAGTTCAGGGTTTTAAAAAAGAAGACTAATACTTCCTTCTCTCTTCTTTCAGAGAAGTTGTTATGATACTAATTAGACCATCTTTAATAACCTCCAGGTTGGACATTAGGAGATAAGTTGGACAAGAATCCAGAGGTCAGGTGATGGAAAACACCAAGCAGCTTGTCCACACCCTTAGGTTTTACCAGTTGAAATTGATCCTGTCCACTTACTGGACATAATTGACTCATCATCAGTGATGGCATTTAGAATGGGAGGCATATTATATAAAAGAAATACTACCACCCCTTAGTATATAACCCAGAGACTTGTTACAATGCTTTAATAAGCCTCTGATGTTTCTGTGGCTTCATCAGATTCAAGCTCCTTTGTCTGCATTCTAGCTGCTTCAGTTCATTCATCAATCAGCCATGGAATCATCTTTGAAGCTTGCCAGAAAAGGAGCCAGGCATCTCCTGCACACTGCTTCCAGAAAATGCTTCCTAAAAGCCACTGTACAAATAAATACTGGTTGTTAAGCTGCTTGGAAAGGGTAACATGGCCTTTCTAATGATCACAGCATGCCATATTCTTGCAGTGCAAGATAGGTGTCCTAGGTCTCTTCTGCTGCTATCCAGATATTTATGGTCTCTGTCCTTGTTCATGTCAAAGGGTAGCCCAAACCCCCGAAAGAAGCCAAATGGAGGTTTTGAGGAAGGAACCTAATTCTGAAAGGAGTTAAGGGCAGTTTGTAGCTGTTCATACTTGCGACAGTTGGGACTGGCAGCTCCATTGCTAAGTGGTGCAACATCACATGACCATGCTGACTTACGATGCCAGTTCCGGCTGCAGTCATTAAGTGAATCACATGTGGTCGTTAAATGAGGCTTCACGTGATCACCATTTGCGACCTCCTGCCAACTTCCCCATTGATCTTGCTTGTGGGAAGCTGACAGGGACTATTGCAAATGGTGATAGTGTGACTACAGGATGCTGTGACAGTTGTAAATGCAAGCTGGTTGCCAAGTGCCTGAATAACGATCTCATGACTGTGGGGATGCAATGGCCGCAACTTTGAGGACCAGTCGTAAGTCTTCTTGTTCAGTGCTGCCATAACTTCAAATGGTCGCTGAATGACCAGTCAGTAAGCGAGGACTATCTGTACTTCTCTTTTGTTTGCCTTTGCCCAAATGAGCATATTTCATTGAAGAAGCAATAACCAACTAAAAAAAAAAATCCAAGTTACAGAAAAGACAAAGATTTATCTGTAGAATAATTAACATGGGGAATACAAAGGTATGTTGTGCCATGCATTTTTAAGGGAGACCTTCTAGAAATGCCAATTTGATACATATTCACTGCATACAATTGTTTTCCACCTTTATAAACTTTTCCACCTTTATTACAATTTTCTAGTGTTTTGGTTGCATTAAATAGGACAGATTTGGTTTATTTGCAGTTAGATTCATATTCTATGAGCTTTCTTTCTCTTCTTTTTGATAAGATGTTCTAGAAGCTATTTTAGGTGTTGAGAGAGGTAATATTTTATTTATATACACACATATACACACACATACATGCGCACAAATTAAAAAAAATTGTTATGGTTTTCTTTAAGTATATAAGTCTTTTTTTTTTTTTTTAGATTACTACATGTGGTGATGCTTCCATTCCAGATTTCTTTAGACTGGAGCAATTGCAGCAAGAATTTAATTTTGTTTCTGATGAGGAATTTAACAGGTCCAAAAGATTTCGGCTTCTTGAGCTCAGAAAGAATGAAGTAGCTGAATTTCGAAATTATAAATTTGTTCCTTTACTAGAAAGAGAGATCAGTGAAAAAGTTCTGCAGGTAAGAAATCGTTCTAAAGATTGTAATTAAAATTATTGACAATAAAATTTCCTGTCTTAGTTTCAGTATCTTCCTTGAATATAACTTCACTGCAACTTTAGTTTACAGTTCCATTTAGCAACTTTAGAGAATCGTCTGTGAAGAAAACTTAAGATATTTGGAACATTTTAATTTATGACAAGGTAATTCGTGTGTGGACGTGGGTGGAAAAAAATTCTCCATGTCATAATTCAGATATATTAACTGAAGCAAAGCTGATGTATGCAACATATTTTGACCACAAACCTTCCAAGCTTGGAATGAACTAACTTTGGAATAAAACCTCATATCTTCCAGAGCTGGGAAAAAGCGGGGCCTATTCTTGTGAATAGCGTTGCATTTTATTGAATGGTTTCATGCATACTTCTAAAAAAGTGAAGGGTGAGATAATTAGGACATAAAAAGGAAGTATGTTTATCTTTAACTTATCAAACTGTTCAAATCCTGCCATTGTGGTTTATAAACCATGGTTTATGATTTAGCGTGTTGTGTGGCCCCAGTTAATCATGATTATGGCTGAACCTGACATATGAATTCAGGCTTTACCTTTATCTCCAATATTGGAGGCAGGTCGTTAATTCCCATTTTCAACCACCTTTACCCAGAGCTCAAAAAATTCTAGAGTCTATTTTTCCTTCTTTAAAATCTGTTTCTCCTTCTTTTAAAGTACTTCAGAATGTCTGATATGTATAAAAACTTCATTTTACTTGGTGGGTGGTAAGCTAGACTGCTTTCTGGTTCCTGCTGTGAGGAGAAACATGAAAGAGAAGAGAACCCAGTATGTCTTTTCGAAAGACCGAGATCTAAAGGGGCTTTATGGCATTGTGGAATAGTCCCATGGTGGT